GAGGGAGGAAGGAAACTGCCTGAGCATCCATACACACAGGGCACTGAGTGGGTACCCATGGATCAAGGGAGATCCGTTAGATGCTGTGGCTGCTCCCTGGGGGGTCAGGGAGAGTGCTGTGGGGCAGTAAGGCACAGAGAAAACCCAGGCAGAGCACCCCCAGATTGGCAATGCAAACCCCGGTGAGGAGAAAAGGTCAGGAAAACAGTGACCTCTCCAGCAACCCAGGCACGAGAACCTCAGGGAAAGGGTGGGTGTGGAGGTGCGATTACCTGGTGGGATCTTGCAGACAGTGGCCGGGTGCCAGCCGTAGCGCTGGTTGCAGTTGGGGGACTGCACAAAGATAGCGCTGTCGCTGAGGCACTCTGCGAAGACCTCCCCGCCGATGTAGTACAGCCGCACGCCTCGCCCTAGAGGGATTCGGGTGAGACCGGGTCAGGGTGCCTGGCCCACACCGTGGCCCGGGGCCGGCTGGCGGGAGCCAAGGGGCAGAGCTATCGATGCTCTGAGTGACTGGCTCTTCCCAACTTCACCAGGCACGTGGGGCCCAGAGCCCACGCCTGAACCCACACCTGGGCGTGGCGGGCGATGCTGTGCTCCGAAAGCCAGAGGAGGCGGCCGGTGAGATAGAGGAGCCTGGGGACAGCCTCGCTCAGCCTCTGCCGCCCACCGCCCAGCCACGGCCTCAGTCAACCGACTCCAGCCTCCCGGCCTGAGTTAAGATGGAGACAATAATACCTACCTCCCAGGGCTGCTGTGAGACACACAGTGAGTGCCTACTAAGCGTTACCTGTATTCTGCTACTACTAGGCCCCCTCCCCTCCGAGATTCAGAAATCCATTCAGTAAACCTGCAGACCCAGGAGCCCTTCCCTGCAGGGGTGACTTATGCCACCCCTACACCTTTCTCCCCTCCATGCATTTTTCTAAAACATTCCACAGGTTTATATCATTTACTTCCCCTTCATCTCTTAAATCCACTCCAGATGGACAGAAATTATTTTTAAATTGGCTCTGCAATTCAAGCAGTTACGAAAACACGCTGACAATGAGCTCCCATGCAGCCGGGGGTGTTCCCTTCCCCTGCGGGGGGAAGGGCTCTGTTCCTGCGCCTAAAGAGGCCCAGAGGGCTGGAAAACGGAGCGAGATTTTACAGGCACAACGTCAAGTGGGATGGAAACCAGACAACGGGCTGACGGGCCACTGGAGGTTCTCCTTCACCTCCTTACCCCATTAATGTCCCATCCCCCACTGCTCCCCATTTCTTCTAGGTTCAGTGTTACAGGACAGACTCGGGGTTCACACGGAGGAACCTCTGCCTTATGTCCATCAAGAGTGGGAGGCAGCCCTGGCTGGGTAGCTCAGCTGGTTGGAGCATCATCCCGCACACTAAAAGGTGGCGGGTTCCATTCCCAGGCAGGCACATGTGGGAGGTGACCAATCGATGCTTTCTCTCACATTGATGTTTCTCTCTCTCCCCCGTCCTCCCTCCCCCCTCTCTCTCCCCCCCTTCCTCCCTCTCTAAAAATTCAATTAAAAAAAAAAAAGATAGAAGGAAGGAAAACAAAGAAAGGAAAAAAATTAAAGACAGATAGACTATCCTGCTGTATACACCTCAAAGGGGTGGCAAGGGGGCAGGAGGAATCCAGGAGAGTGCAGCCACAGCGG